CAGCTCTTGAGGAGGCAGGAAGATCACAAGTTCGAGGCCATTTGGCAAGACCCTGTCTCGGTTCAATGCTCAGTGCCACCAAATAAAGGGAAAAAAATACAACTACAACATTCCTTTCGGTACAGAAATAAAGGCAACAAGTGACCCTTAACTCTGCCTATATCCTATTACTATATTACTTGGGCTTACGAAGTACAGAATCTGTTTTCCAAGCAAACAGACTTTACACTGGCAGTTTATCACAGTCTCCACAAATAGTGATTAATACACTGGATGTCAGTTGGCCTGGCTTAGATTCAATTACCAAAAAAACCTTTTTTTTTTTTCAACAAACTGTGTCTTATCTATAAATTTAAATAAACTACACTAAAATATAATAGCAAATGTAGTCACTTTGCTTCTCAAGATTGCTGAAGAATTCAGTTTAAGTGTAATAATTTCAAAAATGATAAAATTGTTGTGTCCTTTCCTACAATAAATGTGATTAATTTCTCTACAATAAATGTGATTAATTTTCTTAGTCATTAGTTTCAAAGCAGGAAGCGCTGGCCCTCCCTCTCCTCCTTACTCTCCGTTATTTTCTATATGCTACTTTCTATAAAGTCAAAATATCACCTTTTCCAGACAGTTCTTATCTATTTTTCTGTTACACTTTACAGATAGTTCACATCAATCTCTCTATTACATTTAGTAATCTTTTCAAAAAGTCCCAAAACATCCCTTCTCCTCTTTTACTGTTGCAATAGTAGTGAGGACTGAATCTAGGGCCTTATAGTAAGCTAAATCCCCGGAACTTTTTTAAATTTTTATTTTGAGACAAGGTCTCAGTACACTGCCCAGGTCTCAAACTTGCCATCTTTTTGCCTCAGCTGCCCATTTTGCTGGGATGAGGGTATGAACCACCAAGCCTGGCAACTGTTACCTTTTTACTCTCACCAATTTAAAACTGGGCTATTTATTGTTTAAAAAAAAAGTTTCACAATTAAATGAGTTATTAGGATACCCCTTTTCCTCCACAAACACTGGTGTAGAATGTCACTAAATATAACCACCACCTACAGTTTAATTTCAAATAGTACCATGAAGAAGCACCAAGTTGGCTCTGTAACATATTTTCTAAAGACTGTGTTGCTACACAAACATTCCTCAATAAAACAATTCTTAAAAGCCACAAAAAGTTTTGAATGCCACCAAAAGGGTAAAGGCAAAGCTACAGAAAGTCAATACTACCCGAAATTTTCTTTAGAGTTCAAATATGTTTTGGTTATTGGTAGATAATGCATTGCAGTACAAAGGAAAAAAGAGGTTCAAAGTGCCCTGGTGCAAAGACTAAATCATTGAAGATGTATTTGCCAAAGTTCTAACTACTCTCACTCTGATGAGTACAAAATTCCTTTAGTATTTTCTGAGGAAAATCTCTATGTCCAGGGATCCTTAGTTGGCCAAAGTTCTAATCCAAAAAAGAGAAAACCCAGATCATTGACAGCTCTAGGGTAAGTCTGATATTTATAAAAGCATTCCTCAACCACTGTATTTCTAGATAAACACTCATGCTTAAGAAGTGGTCTATAAGGTAAGAAAACTGTATTCTAAAGGACTATAAGTTAGTCATTAGAGCCAATGATACATGACAATTCAAACTTTGTCATAAATTATATAATTATGTTTACATGTTCAAAAACATTATTTTCACACAAGTAATCCAGGAATCTTCTAAATGATGATCAACCTCCTAAATATAGAAACTCTACATTTACAATCAGAAACATTTTTCCCTAAAATATTTTTATATTTGAACATCAGAAAAATTCAATAATCCAACAGTTTTAAAAGAAATATAACAATGTCATCTTAAATAACTATAGCTTATTTATCACCTAAAATAAACATATATTATCTTAAATTAACATACATTTAGAAAAGCAGAAATCAGATAAATGCACGAACTATAAAGCAAGACCATGAGGTGCACAGGGGATTTACTGAATTTCAATAGAAAGCAAGATCCAACTAAAGTATACAATCTCATACTATGTGTGCATGTAAATACATACACACAGTTTTCACTTAAATTCCACTAAATTATAACAAGCAACTGCATTAGACTGATTGGAACAGAGTGGCATAGCAATATAAAGGATAAAAATTATGTGGAAGTCAAACAATGGGGAAAAATTAATTCTTCAGAGCTTCCATTAATCATCCAAATTATCTTATAATAAATATATTTTATGATGGAGAACTGAGCATTTGAAGTAGTGGCAATCAAATTTATTGGACTGTAACAATGTCTAATTTTGTGATTTTTTGCTCCACCTCCTCCTACAACTACTGTATTTATACGAGTTATTTTTAGTGATTTAAATGTAAGTTTTTCTGATAATATTGAAACACGTCAAGTAAAACTGGAGATTCCTCAAAGGAAGGAAAAAAATCACTTCTTTGATTCTTTTAAATGCTCAATTTTTAAAGAAATGAGTGAACAATTTTAACTCAAGGTCTGTACAACAGAGCCAATTGAAAGACTGTCTGGAAACACTACAAAAATTGTACTTTTAAGTCACAAACCAGAGGAGTACAATTAGAAAAAACTGTTACTATACGTAAGCAAGTAAAAACTTACCCAGACATTTAAGTGCTGATACTCCAACATAAACACTGTCCACTTATGGCCAGCTCTCCCTATCACTCCCCAGGTTTTCTTCTCACTGATATGTGTGCTTCTTGTCCTTAGCTGTCCACTGTTGTCTGAGCTATTCGGAGCTCAAAAACAAGGTAGGTCTATGGCTGCAGCCTTGAGTTACACTCTTTGAACAAGAAAACAGTTATTGGGGCCGGGGATTTAGCTCAGTGGTATAAGCACCAGCCTGGCAAGCACAGAACCATGAGTTCAATCTCCGGTACCAAAAGAAAAAAAAAAAAAAAAAAAAAGCAAGAGTTATCAAGCCCAGGCAAGATGGTGCACACCTGTAATCCAACACTCCGGTAGGCTAAAGCAGGGGACTGCAAATGGAAGCCCAGCCTAATCAACTTACTGAGATCCTATCTCAAAATTTTAAAACAAATTTGAAACAGGGCTGGGCATTAAAGTTCGGCACCAAAGTCCTGGATTCAATCTAGAAGCAAAGAAGAGAGGGAGCAAAAGACAGAGAAAGGCAGAAGAAGACAAAGAGCTGAAGCGGGGAAAGAAAGGAACAGAGAATGCAGAGAAAGCAGCAATCTCCCCACATGCACCACACGCTGTGGCCTGGGCCTGTGTCCAGGCATTCGAGAGGCTGAGCCTGCAGGTCGCTAGCCCAAAGTTCAAGGCCTGCTTGGGCAACAAAGTGAGACACTGTCTCAAAAAAATAGGCAAATAAGTCAACAAACAGGCAGCAACCACAAGACTCACAGCACCCCTTACACTCATTCTCTCAGGAGAACAGCAGGAGCAAAGGCGCCCCCCTCACCCAGCTGCAGCTCCCAAGCCATGTTAACGTCAGCACTGGAGCCTCCCCCCTCGCCCCGGCACTGTGCGCCTGCGGGAACACTCGCTACTCATTCAGGACCCCACAGGAATCTCACTGGTTCTGAGATACCCAAGTGCTTCATGAATGAAAGATGTAACTCATTCAAGAAATACATTTTTGCTCAAAGAAGTCACCACCCACCCAACAAAAACTCCACATTATAATTCTATCAAAAAATTTAAAACACAGAAATATTTTCTCTCCAGGCTAATTTTTTCCCTTTGAACTAATTTAATAAACCAGGCATGAGGGTGCGCACCTGTACTCTCAGCACTGGAGAGGCTGAGGCAGGAGCATATCAAAACCAAATCAGCATGAGTTATATAACAAGACCCCAACTTAGAAAAGAAAGAATACTACATACTTCTTTAAAGAGTGATCATCATTCCTCCCTAGACTACAAATAAATAAATGCAGAAGATAAAATTACTTACATTGTATTTTTAAATAGTTTTCTGCTAACTGGAGAGATGTCTCTTTGAGATGAAAATTTTAACTTCGCCTTTTTTTTTTAAACAGGGTCTTGCTTTCCAGTGCAGGCGAGCCTTGAACGCTATGTAGCCCAGGCTGGCCTCAAACTCTTGGCAGTCCTGCCTCAGCCTCCAAAATGCTGTGATTATGCCACTCTGCCCATCTTTAACTGCACTCTATTGAAGTAAATACGAAACTCAAAATGCATTTAGTTTCAACTTTACAAACATTGCTCTTTTTATAGAAAATCCATTCTGTATTCTACAAAGTTCAGTGTCTTAATATGGAATGTTGAGGAAGCAGAAACAAAACAAGTTTTGTTTTAAAGAGAAACTAAATTGCAATTAAATGCCAGGCACGGTGGCATATGTCTCTAATTCCATCACCTGGAAGGCTGACACAGGATTACCAGGTTGAATGCTGTAAATTCAAGGCCAACTTGGGCTCCAAAGCAAGTTCAGGGCCAGCTTGGACTGCACTGTGAGACCATATCTCAAAAAACACTAAAATATGGGGGCTGAGTGGTACAGTCCCTGCTTAACAATCACAAGGTGGTAAGTTCAATTCCCACAACAACAACAACAACAAAAACCACTAAAATAACTGTAAAACGCTGAACGCTGTATCTCTGAATGCAGTCTCTGTACCACAATCTTTTTTTTCTGGTACTGTGAATCGAACTCACAACCACATGCTCGCAAGGCAGGCGCTTATGCTGCTGAGCTAAATTCCTGACCCCTGTACCACAACATTAAAAATGAACTTTCTTCAGTTTATGATTGAAATTATGGCTTACACTGAATAATTACACTGCTCTAAATTTTTCTAGGTATACATCTGAAATCTATATACATCTTTTCCTACTTCAAGTGAAAATAACTTTTTTGAAACAATGAAAAATGGAAGCTCTTTTAGTGTAAAACTGCCATGGTTGGTTAGTTGAAACAATAGTGGACACATTCCCAATACCAAGATGGATATGAAAAAATAAGTGGTATAACATCAAAATTTGTAGCTTACTTTGTGTCTTTTCACAGAAGTTTATCTGAAAGCCTGAAGTAAAAGAGATAAGTTCCAGTTCATTTACTGTAAAGCAGGCCAAAATGAGAACATGACATTACATTATTGTATTACAGTTAAATGAATAAAAGTAACTAGAGGACAGTTTGAATCACACAACCCTTCACATTACAACCTTTCTTTAAAACTTCACCTCTTTCAGGTATAATATATGGCATCAAAATCATTTAAATTGTGTTAAACTGTCTTAATCTTTATTTTTCACATTTATTCAATTAAAAAAAAACCTACTATCCCTTAGAAGCTTTATGACAATTTCATCAATTTTTACGGTGTTTTCAATCTACAAAACAAATATTAAGTACACTATATATATAAGTTAAATTATGGATTTATTAAGTCATAATTAATTACCACCTATTATATTAAAGTTTGAGCAATTCATAAGATGTTAAAAGTGCAACAAACATAAAACAACATTTTCTAGTCAATCCGCTTAACTTCAAATGCAGAACTATTGAAGAGGTGATAATCTCCTAATGGAGGTCTGAAAAAAAAAATATAAGAAGGCAGAATAGAACTTCAGAAATTATAAGGAAAAAACTTGTGAATTACCCTTATAAACAAGAATACATTTTGTTAAATGCAATCTGATCTGGTTATACCATATATATAAACTGTACAGATATGTAGCTATTTCATAAAATGGACCCAGTAAAACAAACCCTTTAAATCAAAAGCTTTCCCAAACATGCTTTTTCCCCTAAGTTGAGTGAATACCTAGCTTTCTTAGCAGTCTATCTATGCTTACATTTATTAATGCTTTAGAGAATAAACTAGGGAAAATAAAGTAGAATAACTAAGTATACAAATAAAAATACCATATTTAGAAAAAAGAGCCAAACTGAAGGAAGAATATATGTTTTATGTGATTCTAAGATACACACATTATCTACAAAAAATGCCAAAGTAGCTACTTTGACACAAAAGTTCCTTGGTGTACTATGTAAGTAAGCCATTGCTGACGTACACACACAAGAGGGGAGAGAGAAGGGAAATGGAGGAAAAATCACTGGGCAGACCTGAGACAGACCTGGAAAGCAGGGCACCAGCCCATCTCGTTACCAAATGTGCAGCAAAGCACCAATCAGGGGAGAGGGAAAAAATCAGAGACCTGGGGTCTTTAAGCCTAGGCAACTACAAGTCAGACACCCTCCTACCATGTGAAGTAAGCAGACTAAATCAAAAGAAAACTACTGCGGAGCCACAGCAAGGCTCAGAAACAAATCTTTAGAGACCCAGAAGCCCCTGGAAGAAGGAAGAAAACTCACCTCCTAACCATAACTGGAAGACTGGGAAACCAGGAAATAATCTCCAGAGAACAGCTACTCTGGTTTTTGTGGCTCTAAGTATGGTGAATGGCTGCTATTAGTTGGCAAAAAGAAAAAGTGAGAAGGTCACAAGTGAACAAAATAGCAATATAAATGGTGACTATAATAAGAAAAAGAAACCTCAGCTGAGGGACACAGCTCACTAGCAGGGCACCTAGGCAAGACTCTAGGTTCAGTGTCCAGCATATGAGAGAGAAAGAGAAAGAGAGAGGCAGAGAGAGACAGAGAGAGAGGCAGAGAGACGGGGAGGGGGAGAGGGAGAGGGAGAGAGGAAGAGAGGAAGAGAGGGAGAAGGAGAGAAAAGACTGGAGGGGGAGGGGAGGAGAGGCCTGTAAAAAAGCACAATTTGAAGCTACATGTAAGGTTCCATTTTTTTAAAGTTACAGAATAAAAGTCAAGCATGGTGACACACCTGCAATCTCAGCACTCAGTAGGCTGAGGCAAAGGATCACCCCAAATTGGCAGTTAGCCTGGGCTACAAAGCAAGACCTTGTATCTCACCCGCCACCCCCAAAAAAGGAAAATAAAACCTCATAGTTAGAGCATCAATGCAAGCAGATAAAAAGGCAGGGGCAAGGGGAGTAAAATGCTATAAACTTGCTCTTTTCACCTACCTATGAACTAACCAGGAACAAAATTCTCACGTCTCAAAACAGTCACCTCCCTGTATTATTCTTCACTCAGCAAAGACTTGGCAGCCACTGAGTTAAACCAAGAGTTAAACTGAGACTTTTATAAAACATTATCAACCAAATAAGGAGAAAATCTATTTTAGAAAAGTAATTTCATACCTCTAAAAGACTACAATCTCATATATACATACACACAAATATACAAACATACATATACATATGTATATGTGTAACAGACTTGTAAAAGTCAGAATAGTGCAGCATTTAAACACAGACTTGGCAAAGGGCCATGGTTCTGCTACCTCCTTACACCCAAGAGCCTGTGTAGGACAATGGGGGGAACCACAAGGAACCATCCAGCACTCTCAGCTTTACAAAATGCAAGTGTGTGGATATGCTGTAATGTCCACTAACAACCTGCACATTCAATTCCAAGACTCTTGGCTTTCTAAATTATGCCTATCCATTCACCTGCTTTGAGTCTCATATTTCTGGAAATGTCAGCGATCCACTAATTCTGCTAACAGTAACTGATTAATTGTAAAAACCTCGTGCACTTCACTCTTTTATGCCATGGAGACTCAGCTATGTACCCTGCAACTTCATTCAGCGTGATTCTTCACTTTAGCTTCCCAACTGCAAGGGAGAGAATCCGAACCTTGCTTATTTTTCCAGGCTCCAGGCAAGTTCAAGTAAACTGTACACAGCGCCCCAGTCCCTCCAAGAATAAATATCAAGACAACAGGACAGAGTGCTAGTAAACAACAAAGGAAAAAGAAATACACTGTGTGAGGCTTTCTTCCTCCTTTTTTTCTCTAGATTTCGCCCATCCTTTCTAGCATTTCCCACATTTTGTCCATCTTACTTCATTTCTGAGATGCCCTAACTGTCCGGAACATGAAACCTACAATTTCCTGTATTTATCAAATAAAGTGAGGTAGTCCATAGTAATTTTAAAAGCTGCTTAAAAGTAAGCATAACCAATGGAGAGAGCACATCTGTAATCACAGAACTCTGGGACGCTGAGGCAGGACAATCACAAGTTCAAGCCCAGTGTCGAGATCTAGTCTTGAAATTAAATTTTAAAAGAGAAGCAGGACGGAGCACACCTATGCTCCCAGCACTCGGGGTACTGGAGGCAGGAAAATCAACTTGACTACACAGGGGCTACACAGTGAGTTCAAGCTTAGCCTAAATTACATAGTGAGATGTGTCTCAAAAAAATTTAATTATAAATTGAGGTTGGAGTTTTGCTCAGTACGAAGGGCCTGAACTCATCCCCAGAAGCAGCCAGTATTTGCTGCAGTATTTGACAAAATGCATTCTGGCTCCAACTTGAAACAAGTCATTTCGAGTCTAGTTTTCTCATTTACACATAAAAGTAAGAACAGCATCAGGTAACCTCAAGGAGGGTGAAAATGTCTAACCCTAATCTTGCTCATGTCGTGACCCTGCTGGGCTGGGCAGCTATTTCCAGTCCCCTTCCTCTCGACTGGGAGTACAATCCAGCACAGGGCAGAGGTGAAGTGTACCCCACCTCCTCTGTACTTGTTCACATCCCCTTCACGTTCTGAGGTTCTGTGCTGCTGAAGTGCGACACCAACTACACTGTCGTCCACACTAATGCCAGAGCCCAGCGCTGCCCTCCGGGGCACGCCCGTGGACATGCCACAAACTCTTCCTTCTGTCACACTGTGAAGAGCCTACTGCTTGCTTCTGACTCCTCAAAACTTTGATACAGACCTTTCACTGCAGCTACCCATAGTAAATACTATCAAAACCTGTCCTAAACGTGTATTTTCAAAGTATTTGGAGTGAGTTCTACGAGATTTCCTTCAGACTTTTTTACTTCAACCATCCTTAACACCTACCTAATGCGGTAAGTCCACTTTGTTCACATGACCAGAACCAGACATTTTATAAAACACTATCAAAAGTAAATGAACACAAAATACTATCCAATTTTTCCCACAATTTTTAAAACTCAGGAGTCTGTCATTCTTATGTGCCGATTGTTCTACCTGTGGCCAATAGTGGGAATGTAACTAAGCCCCACACTATCTTCTAAGCCTGTTCGATGTAACACAGTACCCTCAAGGAAAGGGATTTATAATTGGGTGACTCTGGGCAAAGATCTAGCCTCTGTCAGAGTCAATTTCCTCATCTGTTAAAATATAATAATATTCAAGCGTGATGATTAGAATGAGAAAATGTATGTAAAATGTCTAACGAAGAGCCTAGAATAGAGAAAGCTACCACTGCGTAGGCATTATTACTCCGAGTGTCTCTCCCAGGTAACACTGATTATGGTACTCTCCGAGCCTTCTAGGTGCTCACCAACCAAGCCTGCATGAGACCACTCCTTCCTTGCATTGTTACCTGGAGGAGCTCAAAGGCAAAGTGTCGTCCTCCAGACATCGCTAGGATCGCCATCCTCTTCTCTACACCTGTGGTAATGATATCTTTTGGTTTTCACTGATAGCTCCTGGCTTGTAACTCCCTCCCCAAGGCAAGCCACAGAAATAAAAATTTCTCTTCCCCGAAGGAGGTAGGGGCCCTAGAAACACTAACCTTCCCTCGTATTTCTGGTCCTGGAACAGACCATGAAAAATTCCTGGGCTGGAGATGTAGCTCAGGTGTAAAGTGCTTGCATAGCGTGCACAAGCCTTGGGTTCAATCCCCCGCGCAGGAAGGAAGGGAGGGCACCTGCTCAGCATGCCGCAGGCCCTGGATCCAACCCTGCGTAAAAACAAAGAAAAAGGAAAGGAAGGAAGGAGGAGACATGGGATACGAGGGGAGGAGGAAAGAAAGAAGAGAGAAAAGCAGGGGAGAACATTTGTTGGCCTTCTTCATTCCAGAGGGGGCCCCGCACGAACCCTAGAGGGAGGCGGACTGCGCAGAGCGGCCAAGGATACCTGAGGGCTGACAAGCCTTACCAGGTTTCCCATTCAGTGTATTGACAGCAGCTATCTAATGAGGTGTCCGTGGAAACCAGGGTTCAGCAAACTTCACACAGCTGGGGTCATCGTGGTTGCTGAAGGACAACCTAGAAATTCCAGGTTCCTTCACATATAACTCCCCCTATTCAGCTTTCATTTGCATCCTTTTAACATCCTTTATAATAAACTGGAAAGCATGGTTTCCTGAGTTTCGTAAGGTGCTCAAGCAAATTATCTGAACCCAAGGAAGAAGATGACTTATAGCCAGCAGATCAAAAAGCACAGAAAGGGGCTGGGGATTTAGCTCAGCAGCATAAGCACCTGCCTTGCAAGCAGGCGGTCGTGAGTTCAATCCCCGTTACCAATTAAAAAAAAAAAAAAGCACAGAAAAAACCATATAGGGCCTGAGGCAGCCATCTAAGAGGGGGTTGGAGAAGAGTCCCCATCCTTTGGGATCTGACATTATCTCTAGGGTGACAGCATCAGAATGAAACTGGAGGAAACCCAACTCTTTTCTGCCACTGTAAAACTGATTACTTAACTGCTTATGGAGAAGAATCTTTTGAGGTCACATAAGTCTTGCTTGACTATTATGACATGTGAAGAAAAGATAATACTTTGTTTTTCTGTCAGAGTATCTCAGCCATACTAAAAAACCCAAAAAAGTGAATACTTTTCCCTGGGGCACCTAACCCAGATCCCAGGGAAACTACCAGAAGCCACAGAGAAACCACTTAATAATGTCATTTTGTTTTTGGCGAAAGCAGGCAACAAACAGATATAGACATGTCAGATGTATCTATTTCTATAAAGAGATATAAAATCTCTCCAAGATACATCTGGCGACGCTTTTCTTGTTTCTCCTTTTAATTCTGTTTGAGCTTTTCTCAGTAAGATACAATACAGCTTGAAAAAGCCTGTGTGGCATCCACTTCAATCCTCTTACCCTGCGGTGAGGAATGGTATGATGTTCCTGAAGAATCAAGCTGTGCATGATGTAACTGTTTTCTTCTTTCCCAGCCCATCTTCAGGGCAGTTAACCACTAGCCAAAGCTCACTTTCACAGTATAGCCACAGTCAGATTCCCCTTGAGTCTTTACCCTTGAATCCTTTCCTTTGGCTGGTACACATAAAACCTCCCAGCATTTGGGAAGCTGGGGCAGGAGGGTCACTGTGAGTTCGAGGCCAGCCTGGGCTACATACTGTGTTCAAAGCCAGCCTAACTACATAATGAAACCTTGTCTTAAAAAAAAAAAAATCAGTCCCAATCTTATTAAGTACATAAAGACCTGAGGATCTTTTAGGGTTTGGAAACCCCCTCATTAACAGAGACAGTAAATTGCCTACATGACAAAGTTAGAATGGCAACACATGTTAATTTTATATCAAATGAGATCCTTTTATACATTATGTAAATTCACTGATATGCTGGGCCAAGGCGTAATTCAAATCCTCTACTTACCTTGCAAACTGCCAATCAAAATGGTCCTGGACACTTGCCTCTGCATGCATTGTGATACAAAGGGCCACAGAGGGGACAACCAAGGCTCCAAAATCAATTCAAAAGGTACCCAGGCTGGTGAAGCTTTGACTCTTTTGCTAATGCTTAAAATAATCTCTCTTATCTATTCCTGTATTTACATCATTTCTGGCAAAGATTCTATTTTAAACAGCTAAAATGACTCAGAAAGCTCAGAGGACCTACGTGAACCCATGTAGTCAGAGAAGAACCCATGCACACTACTGCAAAATAGGACACACTAATGCAAAACCTAAGCAAGTTTCAGCCAGTATTTAGATATGGAACACTGGAGGAAAATGTCGGGGATGAGGGTGCTACAAGTAAGATGCTTTTCTTACCTGTTCTCATTAAATGTTCCTGTATCAAGGTAATGTAAGAGAAAAGCAGTATGGACCTTGAGAAGGGACTGACAAGCTGAGATGGCTATGATAAATAAATAATAAAAAACAGGATGCAATGTACTGAGAAGAGCAAGCAACTCCAGGGTTGGGAACTCTTTACTGTCTGCAGGATTCCATTATTTAAACCCCAGACTAAATGATAAAAATAAGCACTCAAATATAATCAAAGGCAGAAGGATTTTGGTGTCCTGCTGAGTTAGGGTCTTGATAAAGTGCCTCAGCTGGTCTCCAGTTCCTAACCATCCTTCCTCAACTTCCCGAGCAGCTGGGATTATTGGCCTGGGCTATGGCAATAGGCATGCATATATATATATATATATATATATATATATATATATATATATATATTCAAATACTACTGGGAGAAAAAAGTGTACTGATTTTAAATATTCATGTTTTCTTAACAGATATACTTCTTATTTTAAAATCATTATCATTATGTGCTTCAATTCATAAACATAAAATGTTCAGCTAAGGGTAAGTAAGTGAGGACAGTATCAGAAGTTATCTGTGATACACCTGTATTTAAGACCTAGAGAAGAAATCTAGGGATGTAGCTCAGCAGTACAGCACACTTACCTAGCGTGCACAAGTCCTGTGTTCATTGCCTACCACGTACAAACACACGTTATTAAACATACACATTTTATACCAATTTCCTGTACAAGTACATCACAATGGCTCAATGCTTTTCAGACTCAATTACAGATTTTAACTATTCTAATCACTTTAAGGAAACATTTTTCCAAAACTGAAATTTCTCAGCCACCTGAATAAAGGTTAGGGAAAGGCTTCATTTCTTTTCCTGCTTTAAATCTGTATATGTGTGTTTGTGTACTGTTTGTTTGTAGTACTGGGCAGTGACCTAAGGGCCTCAAGCATGAAACAAGTGTTCTAAATTAAACTACACACATCCCCAAACCTTTTCATTATTTTTTTTTAATTATGAGATGGGATCTCATGAATTCCCAGACTAAGCTCTAACTTGTGATCTTTCTGCCTCAGCCTCCTGAGTAGCTGGAGTTACAAGCATGCACCACCATGCCCAGCACTTTAAATCTTTATAATAAAACCAACTTCTTATGCTTAAGGAATCATTGAAATCTATTCAATTTTATGATTAAAAACTAAAGCAGGAAAATACCATGTCTAATAACCTTTAAACAACTATTTTAGAATTTTCAAAATTTGTACAAGCCTTAATTTAACAATGTGATTCTCATAACAATCCTATAAATGAGGTATTATTTCTGTTTTAATATATTAAAAAAATTTTCAGCGATCAGAAAAGTTAGATAATTTTCTCAAGGGCATAGAACTTGTACAAGGCAGAGCAATTACTCCAGTCTAGTTTTTCTCAGTCCAAATCCAACATTTTCTTCATTTTAACATCTTCTATTTCTTAAATACTTCCACATACAAAGTTAAAGGGAGTGCTACCAGCTACTAATGGAGAAGAAATTATCCTGCCCATACCATTTCATTAGAGAAAATACTGAGCTCGTTAACTAACCAGAATGTGCTGTTCTCCAATCTACCACCAATGACAGTCTTCAACACGATGTTCTATGCATAAGTCCTTCCTACCTGAGCCACCTGTGTAGTGGGATCTGCTTTTCACAATGTGTCACACCTAGCTAACTAGATTCACTGGGCTTTTGATTTGTCATAAAAAAAAAAATTTAAGTCATGGCTAGAAAAGGTCTCAATATAACAAGTTAATCCCATACTTAATTTTATTTTTACTAAAACAATACTATTACACAGTGTTCTAATATGCAAGAAACATCCTTAAATTCATCTATGACTAACTATTGATAAAACATTAAAAATCACAGAATATCTCACAATTGCTCATTTCAGCATTTTTCTCCTTGATATGAAAAGTTGTCCTAACGACAAATCTATTTCTATAAATCCACTTACATCATAACTTGGCAAACAGTTTGACAGCTTTAGTTACCGAAAAGAAACTGAAGCATCAAAACTAGTAAAACTTGTAAAAGGGGGATGTGTTTGCAAATGAGTAAAGAATATAAGAATCACCCAAATGTATGAGTAACAACAAAATCAGCAACTATTCCCCAATACCTGAGGGATGAGAACGCTGAAAATAATAATAATAGTAATAATAATAATAATTAGAAGTCACACAACACATGGACCAGCTGGAGCTTGAAGTCTCTGAGAATAGTCTAGGAAAAAAAAAACAGTATTAATGAATGGTGACATCCAAAGATTAAAGGGAAGGATAGGATGTCCCACTAACAAAGCTTAAAAACTGAGGTAGACTCCAAGGGGTTTGGGAGTTCTTTAGAATACTAAAGAGACTATTACAGATAACAGTATCATTGCTGCTACTACAAATGATGACAAGTTAACATTCACTGCCCCCTCACTACATGCCAGGTCCCACGCTTTATGTGTATTGTCAAAGTACCTACAAAATAAGGATTATTCTTACCTTCCAAAGATGGAACTAAGGCTTGAACAGGGTAAGTTCCTTTCCCATGTATATTCACAAAAAGTTTAAATCCTGGAAACAGGATTCACACCCAACTCCAAAACTATGGCTCTTGAACACTGTAACGTTAGAAATAAACAAAGGAAGGAAGGAAGGAGAGAGGGAGACAGATTTCCCAACTGGAATTACTCTGGGGCCAGAAATGTCCATGTGTTAAAAAGTACACAGGGCCATCCAGTGGCCAGCATAGCACCTATCCTTTAGGGGATATATTCCATGTCTCCTACAAGTGAATCCTACTGGTTGGAAGGGCATGGTCTATACTAACTCCTCCCAGAAAGGCAGTTTTTAAGATAGCCAGGGAAAGCAGATTTGGCAGAAGGAGTCACAGAACACCAAACATCTTCTAAGAACTACCCTGTGAAGAAGAAGTCTAACATTAAAGAAAAGAAGAGCTGGACTTACTGGTGCACACTTGTAATTTCAGCTACTTGGGGAACTGAGGCAAGACAATTACCTATGCCCAGAAATTTGACCCCAGTATGGACACCATAGCAAGACGCCATCTGAAAAGTAAGTGAAACCAGACATGGTGGCACATTCCAGCACCCCGGGAGGCTGAGGTTGGATTGCACATTCTAGCCCGGCTCGGGAATTACGGTTTCTATCTAGAAGGTCCCCGAAGAGGCTCATGTGTTCAAAGCGGGGCTCCTGGACGGTGACTGGACCATGAAGGCACCACTGGCCATGTGTTCAGAGTTGAATGGGCTGTTAGGAGGCAGGGCCGGACCTGCTGAGCAGGGGACCTCGAGCGAGACCTGCAGGGTACACACTGCATCTGGTCCCCGGCTCCTCTTCTCTTTCTGGCTGCCATGGGCTGAGCACTTTTTCCTCCACCACACCCTTTTGCTGTGCTCTTTCTACCTCCAAGTCAGCTGACCACAGACTGAAACCATGAGCCAAAACAAGCCTCTTCTCCTTTAAGTTGTGGGGATTAGATATTTTGTCCCATCACAAGAAAATAACTAAGACACTAGGCAACTTAGCCATTAGTGAGACCCTATCACAAAATTAAAAATAAAAAATTAGCTCAAGATAAAAGCCCTGAGTTCAATCCTCAGTACCAAAAATAATAAAATAGCCAAAGAAAGACACTGGCAGGTAATAGAAAGTTTGGTTCTAACAGAGTAACAAACAAAAAAAGAGGTCCTAAATTGCTGCTTAAACTCAAACTTTATATCTAGGATTGTGCTAACAAAATCATGAGAATTTTAAATTCTTTTCTCCATTCTAAGTAATCAAAGAGGTTCAACAAGATAATATTAGCAGGGGCCTGGGATTTAGCTCAGTGCATAAAGACGTCATGAGTGCAAGCCCCAATACCAAAATAATAATAATAATAATAATAGGTCTGTAAATCAATCAAATATAGACAAAATGATAAAATTCAGTAATAATTAAGAGGTTTTGAGCCCTTTTCCCTTTTAAAATGAGTTCTGCTTATTAAAAGCTTCAGTTTACTGGATATCAAAAAACAAGGGAGGAAAATAGAGAACATCAGAATAACTGCTAATCACATGACTTACTTTGAGTTCCTAGAACATTCCAAACTTCTCCCTTCTCTGGAACATTCACACTATTAACTTTTCCTAGAACCCTCTTCTCTCCAGACAGGCCTTCTGTGACCATCTTAGCAAGCAGACAGACCTCCCACTGTTATGTTTCATCACAAAACCCAGTTTGTTACTTTAACAACACTTTTTTTTTTCATTTAAGGCAGGGTTTCTCTATGTAGTGCAAACTGGCCTGGATTCACAATGTAACCAGGCTGTCCTCAAACTCGGTGATTCTCCTGCCTCAGTCCTCTAATTATAGGGGTGCCCGCTAACCACACTTTTCTCAATTAGTACACATTTCCTACTTATCTGCATCTTGTCTTCCTTCCCCTTATCCTCACAAGAGGGTAAGTTTCACCAGGAGAAGGCTTTCCAATTTACTCCTCTCCATCTACTCTGCACGAGAGTACTGTGCTTGGCTGTGGGCAGATGCTCAATAAATATCTGACAAGAAAAAGACCAAAACAGCTTTTTCAAAACTGTCAGCCTCTCCACCCTCAACCAAACCCAAAACTTGAAATATCTGTAAGTCAACCATTCTGGCCAACCCTAACAGCTCTAATTTATCATTTTGCTATTTCATTTCCCACTACCACCAACTAGACTGGTAAAGCCCTAAGAGCAAGAAACCGATCTCATCCTTCATTTATATAATGTGCGGTGCCACATACTGATCATCCAATTACTAACTCAATTTGAATTACTTAGCTTCCAGCCTGCAGGGAACGCGTGCTCTGACCTCCTGACATCAGCCAGTCTATATATCACAGTTTCTTCTCTACCCTAAAATTATCTTATGGGAAAAAAAATGCAAAGATAATAAAACCCTGCCTCTGCTTCCTGAATCAAGGGATGCTTTCATAAATACAAAATATTCAATAAGTGTCTGTTGACCCTAACTAGGCATAATGAGACTGGCAGGTCGTTTTTAATGAAAGACGTAACCAGAGTCATACTACCAAGGAAACTCGACTGATTTGGCTAATATTCAACATAACTCCTAAGAAGTTCTAAACTTGCCAAGAGATTTGTGAGATTCCGTGATTTAAAAATAACATTACCATTCAAAATTTCCCAGGAAACTTAGGAAAGGGTCCTGAACGGGATCGGGACTGGTGTGTTCACAACACCCTCGTCCAGAGCCACGCAGAGAAGTAAAAGCTTCCCAATGGGAAAAACCATTAATTAGGAGAGCTGCCTCGGATGTCCAGACACTATCACTTTGACCTCTGCCTTTCTATTTCCTGTGTCTCTCCGCAGACACTGCACATACACCGAACTCAGTCTTCTGTATTTATTTTCTGCCCGCAGAGCTACCAGAAATCTCTGGCCTACCACCAAACGTCTCCTGCAGGCCAGCGGCTGTCTACCTACCTTACAGGTGGCACAGGCCTGGGCACCCCCGCCTCGCTGCTCCCCGCCCACGGAAACGCTGTGAAAGTTTGCAAACCGAGCTTCCCGCAGCGCCGCGGAGCCCCGAGGTCGGCCGGGTGGTCTGGCTCCGGCTGCGCCCTGGCGAGGACCAAGATGGCCCTGAGCCGGCCCCACTGCGGCTGCCGAGCCGAGGGGCGCCGGACAGGACGCCGCCGCTGCCGCCGCTGCCGCCGCCACCTACCTGGGCGGCCGCAGGGACGCGGGGCGAGGCCCGCCGGCGCCTCCAGCCCGCCCAGCCCGGTCTGCGCGGCCCCGGAAACGGCCGGCGGGCGCCAGGTAAGCGGCGGCCGCCGCGATGGGGACGGCGCGGGGCGGTCCCGGGCCAGGTGGGCCCCGCGCGCGACGGGGGCGCGAGGCAGGGCCGGGGGGCCGCGTGCGGGCCGAAGCCGCAGCCCGGGCCTGTGCGGGCCGCGGCCCCGGGCCGGGCCAGGCCTGAGGCGGCGGCAGCGGCGCGGAGAACGCGGGCGAGGCGGAGAAGGAGGCGCGGGCTGCTGCTCCGCCGGGTCGGGGGCGTCCAGGCCGCGACGACGCCGACGGCCGCGCGAGGGGGCCGGAGTCTCGGCACGGCCGCGATTCTTACCCTGCATGCTGCTGACGGCCGGGTGACCCGGCGCCGGGGACCCTATCGGGCCCGGGGTCCCGCTGCCGCTGCCGCCCCCAGAGCCGCCGCCGCCGCTCGGGCTCGGAGCCGCCATTGTTGGGAGTGAGGAGCCGAGCGGCGCCGCGGCGGCTGCAATGCAGCAAGCTCGGCCTCTCGCACGGACGAGGGCGCGGCGAGCGCCGGCCTTGGCCCCGCCCCCGGCACGCCCCCGTCCCCGCCCCCGGACACGCCCCCGCCCGCGCTCCAGGGAAGCAGCGGGGGAAGCAAATACTCCGGGTCGCCCAGGTCTGGGTTGCGCGGCCCAGAGGTTCAGCAGAGGTCCTGGGTGAGGGCTGCGGATGCTTTGCAAAACACCAGAACTGTGTGTGCGTTTGGGGAAGGAAAAAATACGTAGCTTTCAGCCTTTCTGCAGCGATAAGTAACCACAAAACTTTGAGAACTTCCTTGCAATCCCGGAACCTAAAATCAGAATAATAAAGCTGAAAAGAACCTCAGAAATCTAGCTCCTTTGATACATCACTTTGAGAAGAGAGTTAGGGCCCTAGCCATCTGGCCCTGCCTAATAACCAGAGAGGCTAAGGACCTAGGGGGTCCTACACAGAGTGCTCTTTTGAGGAAACAAGCTACATTTTAATAATATCCCAGGTAGTTTATATGTACATTAACTTTACCAAGTACTATGGTAACCAACATTCCGTGACCTCCCAAAATATGACATCTATATCACCTTCCTCCCCAAAAATCACACTGGTTTTCCTCGCCCAAATGCTCTCCGCGTTATAAAACCAATCATAGTTATTATTATAAATTACATAAAATGGCATCCTCCCCCCAACAATATTAGGTTTCTTCCAATGCTTTGCACAGAGTCTATGATTTGAGGAAGGCAGCCACTGAAACAAAAATAGTTCCCTATGAGGCCAGGGGTTTAGGGCCCAGCCACAATGTAATTGAAATAATAGGACATTTCTGGAGCGATTATGTTTTGCATATAATATAATGGCCAGTTGTCCTGCATCCTAAGAAGTCTAAACCATGAAGCCAGATGTTTCATCCCTTTAGAAGCATTGTGCAATCTATACCAGGGCCTCGGCCAGGCTTTCTCCATCCAGGCCTTCTCTGCTGCTAGAATTACCCCATAGCATGTTGGAAGTATGTTCTAGGTCAAAACAGATCTGCCTCATCCCTCCAAACCCGGCCTCATCCACCATCTTGATTGCTCAGATCTCAGCTCAGGGGAAGTCAAAAGAAGGAGCGGGTGGCAATGAAGGCAAATTGGCTGTAAGAGGAGGCAGGTGTACTTAAAAGAATGTCTTCCAGAATACCCCTCCGAGGGCATGACTGGGCAATAATGCCACGTCTGGGTTTTAATATATAAGGAATATATATTTACTGCCAGGAGGAATAAAAATCAAAAAATCAAAGTGAAATGTAGTGGAGCACTCTTGTAATCATAGCTGTCAGGAGGCTGAGACATGAGGATGGAGAATGGGTCTTTTGGGAGCTGGCTGGATCTAGGTCATGTGGTGCTGGGATTCAGGGAATGTGGCACTAAATTAGTCCACTGCTGAGAATTTGTATAGTTCTGGGTGGGATGAAAGGGAAAGGCAGCCTGGCTGTTGCTTTCTTCCTACCGTACCATGAACTATTTCTCCTCTGGGATGCTCCACTGACGTGCTGCCCGTCTTCCAGCTGGCCAGCTGTGGACAGAAACCTTTATGAAGTGTGAGCTAAAATAAACGTTTCCTCCTTTAACTTTAGGTGTCCGCATTTTGTCTCAGCAACAAGAAAAGTGACTAAGACCTCCTGTTTCCAGAAACCAAAACAAAACAAAAAAGGCAAACGAAGCATGTTATCCAAACAGCTTACCAGTAACTAGAAAATAAAGGATATAGAAAAAGACAGAGCCTTCCATCCCAATACAGTAGTTATATATTCCTTAGATTTGGCCATTTTGGTGCACAGGAAAAAAGCATCAGCAGTCCCACAATTTTCTAGCAGTGTCCCTGATATCATACCCTGTCATCACCAGGCTCTGGATGTAGGATGACCTGATACCAAACAATTTATTGAGCAGCTTCTGCCACTTCATGCCAGTACTTGACAGCCGGGGTCCCAGCCAGCTCTTGTCCTAGCATCACTGTAGTAGTGTTAGGTCATCTCATTTCTCATTTCTATTATTTGGGGTCTGCAGTGGTGCTAAGAGATAGCTTGGAGGAATTTGAGCCCTCCCACCAAACCCCATAAGTTGGAGGAGTATTATATCATAACATATCCTCATTAGTTGATGTAGGTAATTGATATAGTCAGTGTCTTATGTGAAGTACTTAGATAAAGCTCTTTTTTTCAATTATACATATTTAATAGAACATTAACATATTTATTTAGTAAGACTCCAGCAGGCAAAGCTGGAGATTATAGAATTTAGATCTCATACGTAGGTATGTACATGGTTTTCCAATATTGTTTTAATGTATGTACAGATCATTAAAAGGAATATAACCACCTAGCATGTTGGCATACATTTGTAATCCCAACACTCAGTGAGCAAGAGGCAGGAGGATCCAGGCTTTGAAATCAGACTCATCCGTGTAGTGAGTTCAAGACCAGCCTAAATTACAACAGAATGCCCTATCTCAACAAAGCCAGGCATGGTGGTGTATGAATATAATCCCAGAACCCTGGGAGACTGAGGCAGGAGAATCACAAATTTGTGCCCAGCCTGGGCAATTTGGTGAAACACTATCTCAAAATAAAAATAATTAAAAGTCTGGGGATATGGCTCAGTGAGCAGGCCCTGTCTTTAATCCCCAGGATCATATATATAAATACATGCATAAATAATCAAATGTGAAAAACAGCATTAAATGACCACAAAACACAAAAGCATAAGTATGATAAAGAAACCTAAAGGAAAACATATAAACTTGCAAATCCATTAAGAAAAGTCGAGTTAAAATAACAATATAAAACTAATCGCATTGTTTGTCTACTACTGACATATACTCACATTGTTATTGGTATCACATACTAATCGATAATGACCATTAAGTCTACCCAGGGACAAAAAGAAGAAAGAATTTTGTTTTACTTAAGCTGATGAAAATATCTGTGTAATTTTTAGTCTTTCTAATGTTCATATTTTTCTCTTATATTTGTGTTTTGTGTTTTTTATGTTCCCACCAAAATTCATATGTTGAAGTCCTAATCACCATTACCTAGGAATGTAACTGTTGGGAGATACGTAATTTACATGAAGTGAGGTCATATCATTAGGCCCTAATCTGACATGACCTATTAGGAGATTAGCATGCACACACACACACACACACACACACACACACACACACACAGACACACAGGAATCTATGTGAAGAAACTTGGAAAGGATGGTCATATGCATCTGAGCAGGGGGACCTCTATAGAAACCCACCCTGTCAACACATTGATCTGAGACTTCCACACACCATCGTTGGGGGCAAATAATTTTCTGTGGTCTAAGCCAACCCATCTGTGATATTTTGTTACAATAACCTAGCAAACTAAGACCATATGTGATTTTCTAAAAAAGGAATTGTCTTTAAAAATGACAAGACTTGTAATTGGCATAATCTTTGAGAGGTGAGGAAGGTGATTAGGCAATATATATAGCAAAATCCAGCAAATTCATCATTGTAAGAGATCCTTAAAGAATCCCCAAATGGACCTGAAACTCCAGACTCATATTTTTTTTTCCTTCCCAAGAAAGATAACTGGCAAAGCAGATTAATATCACTGCTAAGAGTAAGGCATAGTAATCAAAGTACCCTATCATGAGAAAGGCCACAGAAAAAGAAAATGTTTGCATATCTCCTGCTTAGGGAGTCTATGTTGAGAAATCTAGCTTGCTTGTTCTTTTTGATTTATGTCTAAACAGTAAGATTAAGAATACATTTTTCACTTTCCATTTCAAATGAAGCAAAAGTAATTTACAAATGGATTTCACCTTAGGACCCCAATTTCAGCCTCTAGCTAAGCAAGAAGAAAGGTCAGACACCTCTATTTGGCTGTGTCAGCCACCAGACATTCCTTTTATGGGCTCAACAGTTAACAATGAACAAAACCCATCTCTTGCTTACCCCCAGATCACCAGCAGCTGAGTACCAGGTCATCCAAAGACTAATGTTGCCTCTTCAGGCAAAAGGCTTCAAGCACTTTTCTGTATGTCATTTCAGAATAGCCTTTACCTGGAGGAAATACAGGGCATGTAAGAATTTTTCATCTATCCTGCCATCAAAACAGCTCAAATTTAAACCAGATTCAGAAAAAAAGGATATATTAATAATTTCAATTATTAATAGTCATTCAGGTATCTCGATTATAAACAAATGTATATTACATTATTTGTAAGAATAAAAGAATAGAAAATTTTCTCACTCTAAATCACTAAAACCAAGTGAAAGGTAACGTTGATAGTATTAACTATGGTCTGCCCAGATACAAATATGTTGCAAAAGAATATGATATTATTCCGTCAAAAATATATCCACAACCAGCTCTTGTATTCTGTATTGTTTCTCTAACATCACTATAAAAAATAAAGGAAGGAAGGGTGGAAGATGAGGGGAGGAGGTGATTTTGAGTGATTAGGGTGTTTATAGATTACAGATAGTCGTCATTTAACCTGTTCAGTAACAGTTTGGGGTTACAATGAAGCGTGCTATTTGGACTCATGACCTGCCTGTTGAACTTACGACCTGACTTTTTCTTTAAAAAAAAAAAAAAAAAAAAAAAAGATAATAAAATCCAACAAAACAGAGTAACTCCAACCAAAACAAGGCAGCAAAATTGATGCAGAACTTCTGAGCAGGAAAAAAACATCATCACAATAATTGTCAGTTCCATCAGGTGTAGCAAAATCAGACCAAGAACAAAGCTGAATAAAACCAATCAAAACAGAATATTGAATAGAGCAAAACAATCAGAACAAAGCAAAACAGAACAACATTGAGTTTCAAAGATAATAGGAAAAAAATCCCCTATATTTGCTATATTGCATACTATTATCCTCTCAAGACATGTTCAGACCGCTGCCCCCAGGCCTGCAAAATCCAGCAATACAAGCATTTAGTTGCTTTATGTACCTTAGTTGCTATCAACTCAGCCTGTCCTCCAAATAAGCAGGTTGCTTACAGAGGGGTGCAGGGGAAGGAAGGGGTTGATTCTCAGCCTGTGTGCTGGTAGGCTTACAGGAGGCATGGACTTTTCTCTTGCAGGATGCTGTGTGGTTTGCATGGCTTACCAGAAGGGCTGGCTGGTTGGCTTCTGGCTGGATCCTCCCAGTCCCAGCATGGCAGATTCTCCAGAGTTTCTCTCTCTCTCTCTCTCTCTCTCTCTCTCTCTCTCTCTCTCTCTCTCTCTCTCTCTCTTCTCTCTCTCTCTCTCTCTCTCTCTCTCCCTCTCTCTATCTCTATCTCTTGAGACAGAGTCTTGCTATGTAGCACATATGGCCTTGAACTCACTTGTGTAGCCAGCCTGATCTCAGCCTTAGTGATCCTCCTACCTCAGCCTCCCAGATGCTAAGATTACAGGTGTGCGCCACCACAGCTGGACACAGCTGGACACAATTTTTTTGCTACAGTTGTGTACATCTTGTTGATAGAGCCTCATTGTCTTTTTTTTTGGGGGGGGGGATAATACACCTTGTGATTACTGTACTATAATTTTTGTAAATTGTAACACAATGCAGTACTATGGTTTTATGTTCTGTTATACATTACAGTGCTTCATTATAGTGCTACATACATAAGTAAGAACAAAGTCACCAGATTGGAGTTTCCTTTGGCCATTTCTTTATTCTGAATATTGTAACGTACATACTGTACACAACTCCTCATTCGGCAACCAACTCATTTAACGACCTAATTGCAGGAGTGGAACCTGGTCATTAAGTGAAGAGTAGGATATTATGTTTTAGGAACAGTCACTAAGCGTGTTGTTTAAATAAACATAGCATTCATGAAAAGACAAATGTCTTAAAAGTATGCATTATTTTCATAATGTCTGACACTGTGGAAAAATAAGCTACCAAGCTTTCTTGGATATTGAGGCAAAAATTACATGATTTGCCTGTTTTGATGTAGAAGGGAATGATTTGGAGCTCAGTGTCATGAGACTTGTTGAACTCATGATCACAGCTGTGCCAAAAGGCCAAAAGACTTAGCAGTGCACTGTTGTTTGTGGACCTCACTTCTAATGTCTATCTGCTCCCTACAGTTCCTCAGTGGACAACAAAACTGACTCATTTGGAGTTCAATAAATTCTCAAAAATAAACTCTTTTAGAAGTGATGTTACCATTGAAACTTTCTGATATATAGAAATGTCTCAGATCATATGAGTGCAGGGCTTTAAATAGAGAGAGAGGTGGGGGGGGGGGAACAACCAAACAATTGATTATCACTGTAATTCTTGTGATTGTTTAATGTGTTGGGTTTCTGTCTTACACTCCTGGCTAGTAAGTGCCTTTGCTACATACTTTGCATCTGTTTTCTCAGTGATGGTAAAGATTTTAGAGCTTTCAGTGACACTGAGAGCTAGTCCCTGAAGCATGTTTGCCGTAAGTTCACACCACTGCGATTCTAAGATACTGACTGAACAGATGAACAGAGCACTGTCCACTTAATGCCAGTTTCATGGTCAAGGATATTTGGCATTTCCAGTGATTTTTAAAGTCAAGCAGGTTTGTGGTTCTGTGCTATCTTATTAGTGGTGTTTTAGTTTTGTTGGCTCTTTTGTAATGATCTGGAGAAGCCCCCTCATTAATAAGATGAAACTACACATTCAAAATGCGGCTTTCAGCAATATCTACTGTGTGTAATCAGTGTAACCTTGAAGAATCCATGGAAGCTGCTACGATGACAAAAAGGGCATGTGAGGAAATACAGGAATAAGCACTTTATTGATTTGCTAAAGATTGTATCTGGATTGTATCTATTTTACAATCATTCATGATGAGCAATTTCTGTATTAGTGCTCCATCATAAAGTATCCCGGATTTTCTGAGTAATTATCACCCCTGTCTGTTCTGACATGCAAAGTCAATATTGTCTGAACCCAGCTGATGTGAGGATTTGTTGGCAGCTGCTGTATTTTATTTTAAAGGTTATTAGAGAGTATGTGTTCTTAAGAACAACAAATCATGTTGATAATACGATGTCTAATATTGATATTTCACATTTAAAGACCTACCTATTTAACGACTATTCAGATTTATGACCTTGTTCGGACGTAAGACTTGCCTCTGGGGCTAATAACACAGCTGTTATTCCTTTTTTTTTTTTACACTTCTTTACATCTTGTTTATACAGCCTCAATGTCTCTTTTTGCACAGTACACCTTGTTTATAGAGTACTATTTTTTCGCTGATTGAACCATACAGTATAGTACTGTAGTTTTGTTGTACAATACAGCACGACATGTAAGAGTTATGCAAATGAAAGCAAAATTATCAAGTTGGCGTTTCCTTTGGCCATTTCTTTGTTCGGAGTATTGTAATGCACATAACTAGACACCAGTGATGGCGAACCTATGGCACATGTGCTGCAGCGGGCGCACAAGCCAAGTCTCCCAGTAACCAAGCATCAAGCAGCAGTTGCTTTTTCTAAATTAAAACCTCACTATTCAGGGTTAGTTGTAGTACTGGTAGAGGAAGTAGTATGTGCAACAAATAAATGGGTTTGAAGTTGCAGTTTGGGCACTCAGTCTCTAAAAGGTAGGCCTCTGTGATGGTATGAACAGCTATCTTGAAGAAAACAAGACATTATGGCAGCCAGTGCTGATTTAATATCTCTTGTTTTGAAGTCTTACCATGCTTTTGTTCTTCTGTCTCCGTTGGTCCTATCATGTATATCTTATTGGATTTCAGTATGTGTGCTAGTATAAACAAATTTTTTATAGACCATGAGATAATATAGTAGCCAGTGTTCATTTCCTGTTATTTGGTTCTGAATGCCCTGTAATACTTTCATTCTCTTGAATGGTTTTATACTATTTTGTTGTGTTTGATACTATTGTTTGTAAAGTTATGCTCAACTATCTCAAAGAAAAGAGACATCATGGTAGCTACATTAATATCCCGTTGTCTTGTGGTGAAGTGTTGTGTTGCTTACATTGTTCTGTTCTGATCTGTTTTGTTCTGTCCTCTTTTGTCTTAATCTCTTTAAAATAAAATGTATAGAAATAAAATAAAATAAAAGGTTGGCCATCACTGCACAGTGCCTCATTTAGTACCCAGTTCCCTTGATGACCTAGGCTCAGGACCGTATCTCTGTTAAATAGAACGTCTCTGTAATCCGGTGAGGGTAAGAGGACACTTTTCTGGGGTGATGACCACGTTCTATACAATGAAAGGAATTTTCAGTTACACAAAAGCAACAAATGGATGCTTAGGATTTGGGCATTTCACTGTATGTAAATTTTACATTTAAAAGAAAACCCAAGTAAATGTCAGACTCTCAATCAAATGCAGATGTATTGAAGGGAACTTGTACTGATATCTGTAGCTGACTTTGAAAAGAGTTACTAGGACAGAAGGGTGGGAAGATGGCTAAATATATGTTAAAATACGTGTAATAAAATATGAGTAGTAAATGGGTTCACCGATGGTAAGTATAGTTTTTTTTTCAAATATATGCCTGAAGTTTTTCATAACAAAATATTAGTGGAAATAAAATATGCGAGAAAACTAAAAATATAAAAATCAAACACTTTTCTAAGTCGCCCCAGAACAGAATTACAAATCAAATAATATAATAAGTAAGTATAAATGTATCCAACTAATTTATTCCATTTGGATTAATTCTGATAAAAATTGGGATTTATTGAAAATTTTCATCCAAAAGAAAGGAATCACTTATGGTGCACTGACAAAAGGTCCTGATGTGCAAGGTCATACATCAACTGTGGCCAAGAGGATACCACATCAGAGATATCTGGTTCATACAAAATCGTAATCCTAGCACCCTGGGAGGCTTGGGTAGGAGGATCAAAAGTTCAAACCCAGCCTGGGCACTTTAATAACTGAATAAGAATGTCTCACTTTAAAAATAATTTTTTTTAAAGTGCAGATGTAATCCAGCAGGAAGGCACTCGATTGAATCCTTAGTAGAACCAAAAAAATGGGAAAAAAAAGAAAATGGAACAAGAATTGGGCATGTTGGGAGCTGCCTGTAATCCCAGCACTAGGTAGACTGAGGCAGGAGAATCATTGTGAGTTCAAGGCCAGGTAAACTTCATAGTGAGACTGTGTCTCAAAAAACCAAAACAGAGCCAGGCATGGTGGCACACTCCTGTAATCCCAGCACTTGGGCTGCTGAGGCAGGAGAAGCATTTCCAAGTTTGAGATCCGCTTGGACTACAAAGTGAGCCCAAGACTAGGCTTAACTGCATAGTGAGACCCCGTCTCCAAAAGAGAAAAGCAAATATGAAACCAAATTCAAACCAAACCCCAAAAACCCTGCATCTATAGATACACCGATATAGATATGGATTATAAAATTTAATAAAGATTGTAGAATTAAATAATTACTTAGCGGAGAACATATTTGGATTGATTGAGATTTTTTAAATTTTGTGTTGAAATTAGGTAACAATATCTGGTTCAAATTTAACATCATTTTGTTTCATTGTGTCATTTTGGCAACAACTCAGTTAAGCTGTGCCACACAGCATACACTTCAAAGGGATCACTGGTTTTTAATGTATTTACAGAATTAGGCAACCAGCACAACAAGAAAGAAACTCTGTATCCTTTACAGTCACTTCCCAGGGGCCCTCACCCACCCCCACTTCCAGGCAACCACCTAATTACTGTACTTTGCCTCTGGACATTTTGTATAAATGGAATCGTACAATATGTGCCCTTTTGTACCTTACTTCCTTCACTAACGAAGATGGGGTTTTTTGGTTGGTTTTTTTTTGGAGATAGTATCTTGCTATCTAGCTCAGACTGGCCTTCAACTCACTATGTAGCCCAGGCTGGCCTCAAACTCTTGGCAATCCTCCTGCCTCAGCCTCCAGAGTGCTCGACTTACAAGCCTGCATTACCATGTGTGGCTGTCATTTTTTTTAACTCGTATTTTAAGTACCTATCTATCATCCACTGGATTGCATTCACCATAGGAAATTTGAACCTGTACATAATATATCTTAATTCCTCATTTTTCTCATTCCCTTCCCTCTATTCAATCTTTCTTCTCCTCCCTATTTATAAGAGTTTTTATTTTTTCCTTCCTTTTTCTTCCTGTACTCTTTTTTTCTTCCTCCTTCCCCTCCTTTTTGAACATGTCCCTCTTACTTCCCAATACCTACCTTCCACTCAGCGTAATGCTTTGAAGATTCATCTGTGCCGTAGCGTGTTATGACAATACCACTTCATCCCTTTGGCATGGCTATACCTCCTCTTGTTTCCTCAATTGTCCAGTTGAGACAGGAAGATAAGGTGTGACTAAAACCAGCTAGGAAAGGAGGCACGGCCACATCCCGGAACACAGGCTCAGAACAATTCTCAGAACCCTGCTGGTGGACTTCTCACAAACCCTCAAGGAAGTTTTTGATACAATGACCTGGGCGTGACGCTAGTGTGGGAAATATAAGAAAAAGACGGTTTCCAGGCAATGGTGGAGCATGCATGTCATCCCAACACGCAGGAGACAAAGAAGGAGGATCACTGTGAGTTTGGGGCCAACCTGGGCTACAAAGAGAGCAAAACAAAGACAAACCAACAAACAAAAATCCCCCACAGTTGCCATTAACCGCTCACTATTCACCACCACCTCCTAGTGTGCCTCTGCATGGTGCAGCATCCTAAGCTGTAGGATGTACTTTTCAATTATTTTTTGTCCTTTCTACTCAGCCCAAATTGCTTGGAAGAGCCCATTTCCCCCCTACCTTTCTATTTTTCTCCTACCTTCAATAAATGTGAAGCTTTGTCACCATTTATGATTGTTTCATTCAACGTTTTGTTCAGGACAGAAAGAACCTAGAAACCACCTCCAGAAGGAGACTCCAGCTCCCCAAAACTCAATGGATATTTTGAGTTCTTCTCATTTTTTGGTTATTATGAATAATGCTGCAATGAATATTTATGTTTAAGTTTTCCTGTGGACTGATGTTTTCAGTTCTCTTGCGTATATACCCAGGTGGAGGATTGATAGGTCTGATGGTAACTCAACTTTTAAACATTTGAAGAACTGCCAAACTCTTTTCAAATAGGCTGCATTATTTACAATCCCATCCGAAGAATACAGGTTGTACAATTTCTCCCCAGGCGCACTGTTAAAGTTTGTGTCTAGATGTCTCCTCAAAGCCCCATGCAGTCATAGGGGCAGGCTTTTCAGAGCTGGTCTAATACAGGCTGTGACTGATTCATGGTCCAGGGCTGGGATTAAGGGTGTGAGTGCTACACCCACTGTAGGGCAGGGAGCCTGCATACAGTATAAGGGACAAAAAAACATTTGTCCTCTTTTCTCCTGCCTCTTTGCTTTTGCTGTCTTCCACCACCATGAACTGCCACCTCTCTGCCATGTGCCACCCTGCCTTGGAGCCAGCCCATTATGGACTGAAACCTCCACAAACTGTAAGCTCAATAAACCTTTCACCATTTTAACTTTGAGTGTTGGGTATTTTGTCCTAGCGAAGAAGAGAACAGTAACTATGACACATAATAATACTTGTACCTTCTGATGATAGTCACCCTAACAGACATCACTGTGCTTCGAGGCATTTCCACTATAGCATCCACTGCACTGGACATTGGCAGAAACTGTATTTTCTATAAAGTGAAGGTAAAATGTGTTCGTTTCAAGAGTGAACTAAAACCCAAGCTGGTGATCATGTACTGCTGTTAGCTCAGCACTCTAGGAGGCTAATGGAGGAGGATCTAAAGTTTGAGCCTAGTCTGGGCAACTTAGTGAAATTCTTTCTCAAAATAAAATAATAATAATAGTAATATTATTTATTATTAGTAGTGTTGTTACATTAATTAATAGTATTATTAATATTTTATTAATATGGCTATAATAATAATAATATTAAAAGGACTGAGTGGAATGTAGCTCAGTGTAAATGCCTAGGGTTCAATTCCTAGTACAAGAGAGAGAGACAGAGACAGATAGACAGAGACAGACAGACAGAGACACACACACAGAGAAAGAGAGACAACCAGAGGACACAGCTTCTTAGAGACCAAAATATGATGCAGTTTGGAATAAGATGTGGCCGTTCTGAATGCAAACCTGTTCTCTTACATCCCTGGATGGAGCACTGGGTTCCAGGAATGGTCCTGCAAAAATTCAGAGAGAAAGAGAAAAACCACCACAATATGAACCCTTGTGATCTGATCTATCATTTTTGACTCAGCCCATATCAAGTTCAACCAACAGAAGCTCAAGAAAGACTCCCTCTTTCCAAGTGACACATGCAAGGTATCCATTTACTCTCACAATTCAGTATCAGTAACTAAAATGTATTAGTAGTTAATGAAGCATTTTATCAGCTAGATAGGCTAGGTGAAAAATTTATCTGATCTTGGACACATGGGAAATTTTCTATCTTTGGAATGTTGGAAAGAATTCAACTATGCAATGTTAGGGCTCATGTCTAGCCGTCTCCCCAAAACCTCCTGTGGCGATTGGTGGCACTTTTACAGAGGAGACTGGATCTAGAGTGTGTGATGTAAGGATGTGTGTTGATGTGTGTTACTAAGTTAGTCCCTGATTGGTTTGGCATAGTTCTGAGTGTGGGTATTTGGGAAGCCTAACCTGGGTATAATATAAGAGAAGAAAAGAGAGCTGTTGTTGTCTCTTGCCATTTTTGGCTTTCTGATGCTTTGCTGCCTTCCCCCTGCCATGATCTATTTCTCCCCTGCGATGCCTCTCTGCCACACTATCTATCCTATCTCGGAGCCCACCAACTATGAGCTGAAACCTTCACAAACTGTGAGCTAACTTTCCTCCTTTAACTTTGGGCATTTTGTATCAGAACAAGGAAAGTAACTAAGATACTCAGTATCTGCAATTAACAACAAAATAATGTAATACTAGGTACAGCAATATTAATGAGCAGGAGAGATGTTACAAGAATGTCAGTAACAACAAAAGATTCAGATTAGGTTTTGCAACAAGAAGTGAGGACACTTAAGAAAAATACAACTTACTGCAGTCAAGTGCTGCCAGCTTTATTAACTCTAAATATATCTCTGGAAACTGTATCATAGTGTATTCCAGAAATACTTTATATTTTTGTTTGTTCATGAGACATATGGCAGAAAAGCTTTTAATTAATTTAATACTTGAAACCAGACATGATAGTGGTCATCTGTAAACGTACCTACCTTTCTGGGAGACTGAGGCAGAAGGACAGAAAGTTTCAGCTCAGCTGGTACAATTTATGGACCTAGCAAGACCTTTTCTCAAAATTAAAATAAAAGGGGGGAGGGATGTAGCTTAATATGAATGCCCTGGGCTCAATCCTCAGTAGTACAAAAAATAAATAATTTAAGAGGATTGGGGTATAGCTCAGTCAGAGAACCCTGGGTTCAACCCCCAGAATCACAAGAAACAAAAACAGCTAAGCCTGGTGGTATATACTTGTAATCCCAGCACTAGGAAGGCTAAGGCATGAGGATTCCGAGCTCCAGGCCAGCCTGGGCTGTCCAGCGAGACTCTGTCTTAAAACAACAATGACCCTCTAATATTTGGTCTTTTCTTGGTCTCATAGTTTGTCAACTGCTGCTTATTGACATTTTTGTATCAGGTAATTTGTTGTGGGCTGAGCACTGCACATGTCCTTGAAGATCATTGGCTTTCACTCAGCAGGTGCCAAGTTCATCAATATGCTTCTCCCAACCCCACCAAGTCCTGACAAGTGCAATATGTTCGAGTCCTCAGAGGAGAGGTTGCCTCTGGCTATGGACTAAGGTGTGTGTGTGTGTGTGTGTGTGTGTGTGTGTGTGTGTGTATCTGTTTAATGGATCTATAGTACATTCTCTTAATTTATTATGTTTACTAAGTGAGAAGTTATTAATCTTTAATGGAAGGGAATGAAACCATGTTGTCATTACCTGTTAAACCTAGAAGAAGTTACTTTTTATTTTGATATGACCCATGGTTATTTACTTCTGAGTTAGCCATATGTTATAACAGGAAAAAAAAGAGTGTCTATTTCTAGTCTTTAAAGACCAATACAAGACCATCTGATTATCTTGAAAAATATGCGAACATACTAATAAAACCTGTAAGAAGGAAAGTAAGAAAACATAAATCTACTAGACATTAACATATTTTCAATCTCCAATGATCACCATTTGAGTGAAACATAAACATAAACATAGAGGTTGAACTACTTACGAAGACCAGAAATAGACTTGAAAACTTGTGGAAATACAGTACACTTAAAAGTGGGATGTCAACTCAAAGATAGACATCTCCAGAAAATTGAACTTGAATTCATACCTCAATCTTAAAATCAGAAGGAGTTCCAAATGGATCAAAAATTTTACTATAAAAAGAAGCCACTAAAATGAAAAATGAATCCATCGCTTCTGTGACCAAAAGTCAATAGGAAAAAAATTTTAATTATTTTAACAAAAACTACATAAGCAAAGTCAGAAACCAAACAACTAACTAGGAAAACTATGTTTCAATTGGTAATATAGATAAAGAGTTAATTTCACTGATAAAATCTTTTAGTAGGACTGGTGCATAGCTCAGTGGAAAAGCATATAGCTCATATGCTTGAGTTTCTGAGTTCAATCCCTGAAGCTGCAAAGAGAGAAAAATCATAAGTGAATTCAAAATCAAAGAGCTGTGTGGAATCTGCTTATAGAGGACCAGAAGATCCAGTTTTCTAGAGGTCAACACGTCACAATTTGGAATAAGAAAATTGTAGCCGCACTGAATGCAGGGCTGACCTCCTGAATCTCTGGGTGGAGCCAGTGGTTTTGGGAACGACCCTCTGAAGATTCACAGACTCACCAGGAAAGTCATCTACACCAATCCACATCTTTTTTCTTGCCTTTTATTTATTTTTTTGGTACTGGCCATTGATCTCACACTTACCAGGCAAGTGCTTGAGCTGCTGAGTTAAATCCCCAGCTCAATCGAATCTTTCTGATGATGTCTGTTTTCAGATGTGTGCAGAAACTCCAAGATAACTCAGTGGATTCCTCACTAAGAATGAAGTCCAGATCCCTTTTTAAACTGAGAGGATCGTGAAAACTTCTGCCCCTGTCTCAGACAGGGCTTGAGGTGGGAGCCTTGTTCCTTCCCACAGTGAACACTGGTTGAGATCTATATAGTCCTTGTGCTCACTTGTCGGGAATTTGCCAGGGCATTCACCATTTCAAATGCTATGTTCCAATTATGGACCATGAGATCTGAATTTTGCACTGAGAATATAGTAATAGTTAAAGTAAACCGGCTGAAGTTTTGTCCGTTGACTTCGGCCAGGTGTTGGTATTTCTTTCTCAGAAGTTTCCTGAATATCAGAGATCTTAGGGATACAACTGTCCCTTCTGGTCTTAGCATCAGGTGAAGGCAACAGACTCACTAACAAGCAACAGATAAACGGAGGGAGAAGGAATATGACAGGAACAGTGCCTGTTCATCCTGCAGGAGTTGGTTTTGCCTCTTTCTCTGAATACCTTGAAGGACCTCTGACCAGCAAAGCTCTCAGTGGACACTGCTACCCAGAATACAGAGGTAGGCGTCAGCATCCTGTCACTAACCGTGCTCTCTAGGGGAAGTTACCAAGCAATCCTGCTCAAATACCTTCAGTCGCCAAGTAATTAAATATGTAACGAGATCTGATGAAAAAGAATGGTCAGATTTAATAGTGAACTTCAGACTGTGTGCACCATGAAAGAGCGTAGGAATGAAAAAAGAATTTTTAAATTGTGCTTGTTAAATAAAATCTACACTTCTAGTTTCTAACTCCTGTGTTGGAGGATCATCATCATCAGAGAAGAGAACAGATCTTGGGTAAAATTGTGTAAGCATTCCTTACCTAATGAATGCATTCCTTGCCTACTTACTGGTAACTAGCTCCTTCCAATGCAATGCTCATGTACTGTGCCTTTGGCTACATATTGTTTCTTCCCTGTATCTCCATGGGCAACCTGAAGCTCTCTGTGTGCCCTTCTTAGCGCTTTCTAAAACAGAGCACTGTTGCTGATTAACTTATTTCTTTCTGTCCTAATGCCTCATAATAAATAGACTACATTCTGGAAAACAAATGAAGAACAAAAACAAAACAATGCAAAACCCTCCAGTGTCTAGGTAAGGCCATTAATTGTTTCTCTATGTTCCCTTATGTTCCGCCCCTTTGTGCTAATTATCAGTGACACATGAGTCGTCATAGCTCTTACCATCTTTCCAGGGGAAGAAAAAGCTTGCTTCTCTGGTTGATCCAGGGGACCTGCAGGAGCCACCACATGCTCCTGGAAGCTTCTGTCAAAAGAAGGCAAGTTCAACTGGAATAAATGAGTGCAGACAGAAGCTCAGCATGGGAAGGTATCCAGCCATCCCCAACACAAGCAGCAGGGACAGATGGGGCCTCCCACTGCTCTGTGATGGAAGGAGTTTTGGGAGTTCTGACCATCAGGGAGAAGTAGGTATCACAGATTCAGCAAAATCTGACAGCTCATAGTTATCATGACCACTGGCCCAGCAAATGGTCAGGCATCTTAAAGAAAAGGACACCCATAATGGCGTCAGGTGAATGCATGAAAAACAGAATCAGTAGGCTGGTGTCAGGATAAGATAGTCCTGCACATCAAAGGAGAAATATTCTGTGAGTTGGAAATTTCATCAACGGTGAGTCCTTTAATCCACTTACTGAGTCCTTTAATCATTATTGTCTGAATAGAATACCCTGACCTTTAAAGGATCCCTGGTCAGTCGATGGGTTAAAGAATCACTTACAGAATTCAGAAGTTTTCCAAATCTGCATCTGAAGCCTGGCACGCTTTTCTGGAAAGAACAGAAGCTTTATATAGAGAAGACTCGACAGATGAGATCCAAGGCTGTGGCAGATGAGGTTCTGGGCAGAAGCCTAAGGCCAGAATCTTGATATTTTATAATAGAGATCAAGCTCAGAGGCACAGACAGGACTCTAAAATAAAATATTATAAAATAAAAAAGATTAGCTTGTTACAGAAAACCATATGAGTGGTGGGCTGATGTCTCTATGAAGTGATATTCATGTTTCCTTTGGTTTTAATTTTGAGGAAAAACATGGCATTTATTATAATGTTGTTGAATGTGTTATAAAGTATATAACTCAATTCACGTAGTTCTGATTTTTGTCCTGTTTTTGATCATCTCATATCTTTTCTTTCCTTTTGAGAAATCTAGGATATCATGCTGAAACTTTGTGGCAAACAGTGTGGTATGCTGGGCTCTATGGAATGAGGCTGTAATCCGAGTTACTTGGGAGGCTGAAGTTGGGGGATCACAAGGTCCAAGCCAACCTGGATAACTCAGCAAGACCCTCTCTCAAAATACAATAAAAAGGGCTGGGGATGTAGCTCAGTGTAAAGGCCCTGGAGTCAATCCCTAGTACTATAAACAAACAAAAACCAGTGTAATCAAAACAATTTTTGTGCTCAGGTGCAATGATCTTTTTATTACCATTCTTTCCTGGAAATTCCTATCCTCAAATAGATGATATACAAACATTATATCAAGGACAGCAAAATTGTACCTTTAACTGTCCAGGCACAGTTTGTTCTAGGCATTTTACATTGTATTTTGTTACTAATTCTTACAATGTTCCTGAGAGTTTGGTAATATTGTTAGCTCATATTTTACTTGATGAGAGAAACGAGGCACTTTGTGGTTCAGCCTCATTTATGCCCTATTATACTAGAGGAGCTTCTGTTTTAAGAGTTCCTAAATCAAAGTCAGCCCAAACAGTCCTGTTCTGTTTTAGCTACTCTCCAAGATATCCTGATTGCCAGTCAGCTGTACTGTAGCATCATCATTACTATCCATATACTTTTTGGCCACTTGAGCATAATCCTTGGATTTCAGAAAGATATAACATTAATCTTGTATATGGCAAAGAAAAACAAACTGGTATTGCAGATGTCAATACTGCCCCCATGGTATTGATAGGGAAATCTTGACAAAATGGAAGCCTGAGATGGAAACTTTTGCAAAGAACCAAGGTAGTGTCAATGTTGTTGGTAAGCCATGCATCAGCTATGATGTCACGCAAAACACAAAATATTGACCAATGGTTATCATTGACTCGGTCCTACACATGTGTGGCATAGTTTGATACTTTAGGAAGAAAGTAAAAAGTGAAAAATACCCCAGAGATATTTTCTTAGAGGACTGAGACTGGACCTCACATGAAATCATTTACAGCAGAAGAAAACAAAATGTTTCTGCCGAGCGAATTATGCAGTAACATCGTGGAGCAGACTGATGAACAGGCAGGTTCAGCACACAAAGATCTACACAACAATAGGAAAACAAAAAGGATGTCGACTGTGCCCTACAAGAAAGCACAGGAAAATAAAGCATCTGTGCTATCAGTGTAAGCGATACTGTGCATGGAACACGCAGTTGTCATGTATGAAGAATGCCTTGAGTGTGATAGCTTCAGGGAAGACTACTTTTGCATCAGACTTTTGTTTCTCTTTACATTGTAATTCACACAGGTTTTTATTTTTTATGTTATCTTTTAGGTTTTGTAAGCATGTAAGCAGCTGACGTGAAAATGTTGATGTCTATTCTAAGCACTCATTTGATATTTTATTCTATTGATATTTTATTTCCCTGCTAAATAACGTTGCACAATGCAGTAGGAAGCTCCTGACAAAACAGGAAGAGAGGTGACAAGATTGCCACATGGGAAAGAAAAGCTAAGTACATGGGCTGTCAATGTGACAGAGATGTGTGTGTGCATTTGCAGGTGTCGTGTTAAGCCTAGCTTGGCGGTGGCCATTGAAACAAAGCCTATTTTTGTGTAGAGTTCTATTGGTATTTTCATTGTAGTTCACATGAAAATTTATCTCTGATGTTACCTTTTAGTTTTGTAAGCAAGTACACAGCTGATGTGAAAATGTTGATGTCTGTTCTAAATGCACAATACATTCTAAGAACTTCCTACATTATTTTGTTGATAGGTTATGTTCCTGTTAGCTACACAGCATGTAAGAACCTCCTGACAAAACAGTAAGACCACAGAGATACCAAGTGTGTCCTACAAAAAGGCCAGGAAAGCAAAACACATGAGCTGTCAGTGTGAGAAATGCGTGTGTATGAAACATGCTCTTGTCATGTATGCAGACTGTGTTAGGTGTGATAATTTAAGATTTTTTTAATAAAATGCTATTGGTATCTTCATTGCAGTTCATATAGGGATTTGTGTTCTTCTTTTTAAGCTTTGTACACCAAAAAATAATCAATGTTGAAAATTTTGATAAAATCCTCAAATTCAATCCTAAAAATTCAATACTTTATTTTTGTGACATTTTTCCTAAGTGCTCATTGTTTAGTACAATAAAATTCATAAAATTAAAATTAATAATGCATCGATAGAAATATTCAAAGAATAAATGTGGATTTGACAAAGCCATGTTTCTGTGCCTTTATGGCAAAATTAGTCTTAGGCTCCATGGATTTTTATTTTTATTTTATTTTATTTTTTTGGTACCAGGGATCAAGCTCACAACCTTGCGCTTTCCAGGAAGATGATTATGCTGCTGAGCTAAACCCCCAGCCCAGATTTTTAATATTTGAAAATTATTTTGGTTGAGTGGTGGTCAGCTCTGATTGGGTTGGCATTATCTTTATTTCTCACCGTAGCTGAAAAAGGATTCAAGCCATAAATATAGTTCTGTTATGTTCGTGTTGTTTACTGTATTTATTTTTGATTTGACAGTCATTTGCAAGAAACTTTCTAAACTGCACATTTCTTTTGGTTAGTTTAAGGCTAGGTGACATGATCGAAAAGGTTTTTGCCCTAATATGAATCACAGTACAATTATGGTGGTGTTCTAACATGGTTCTAATCAAGGCTGAAATAAGAATGCTTACCACTTATTTTTTTAGCCCTAATTGTAACTCCCTTTTTTGTCTGCATGCAAAAAAAAAATTGAAATCAGTTCCTCACGTATCGTCAGTGTCCACCCCACGTGCCCCTTCTGATCAGATGTCATATAACCCTGTGCCTCTCCATATCTGCTCAGAGGAGATAGCCCAACCGCCATGGGTTGTGTGTTTCTTTCCAAGTCCTCAATAAACCTGTTCTTTTCTTTTTTATGCTTTTCTCTTCTCTACTGCACCAGAAAACTTAACATTTTGATGGGGTGATTCAGATTGGCAGAGTTAGTTCCTGGGGTCGCTCTCAGTTTGAGCTCCCCTGTCTACAAACCACCTTTCCATCCTCTGGGACCTGTTTATTTGCCATTGCTAACCCACATGCAACACTGGCCCTCCTTATCTGTCACAGGTGAGCTGCTGGCCCTCTTTATCTGTCCCAGGTGAGCTGCTGTCCAGGGTTTTCTGTTTCCGTTTCTCAGTGGATAACAGCTTTCATGTTCCTTGCATTGCCAAGGCAAAGCTGTTTTTAACCTTAAACATTTGCAAGCTTGCGTCAGAAAACCTATCCGTTGCTGTCCCTGGACAGAGATAGCAGTTTTCACGTTCCTTGGGCAAGACGCTCTTGTTCTCTGGGACCTCACTCCCACTCTTGGTGACAGCCAATGAGAATGGGTGTTGGGACCTTCTGTGTCACACTTTCAAATTAGGTGATGACTTCTTTTGATCATTGTGGTCCAGAACAGCTTCCATGTTCCATGGTGGGGAACCAAAGCTCTTACATCCCAAGCAAAATTCAACGGGATCATTTCCTGTCCCCCGAAAAACACACCTCTGCAGTGCCTGGTTCATAACCTTGGTGTTCTTGGCCTCAAGAAGGCAATAAAAACCAAAAAGCTGACCTTTCATTTGTACTTTGGTCACCTCAGCGACAAGGTGGCAGAAACCCCTCATTGTTGGGTCTTTCTCACTTTGAGGACGTGTGCTTCTCTCATTCTGTCTTGTACAGTGGCCCAAATATTTCCAGCTCACTCTGCCCCCCCAGGATCTCTCCTTTCCTCCCCATTGAACCCTTTAGATGATGGGCGTCCTGTCTTTACTGCTCCTCCCACATATCCCCAAGTCCAGACCCCTCACTTTTTCAACCACAGGTCTCAGAGCCCCATTTCCTCTCTTCCTTTTCCTCACCCCAGCAATCTCTCAATCTTCCTCTCCCCACTCTCAGACTCAGATCCCTCTGCTTGAGCCACGTATCCCCTTGGATGGCACCATTTCCATCCCTGCTGCTCCTGTGTCAGCCATTCTCACTGCCACCACACTATACTAGGTCTTGCACATTTCAGCCACCTAGCAGGCCACATGGTATTTGACTGCCATCTTGTGATCCCACATCACATAGTCCTCAGCAGCCATCTTGCTGCAGCTCACACAGAG